AACTATGTGGCGGAATTCATTAATTGATCATCTTTCTTTTTCAGAAAAGGGGAATATTCTTTCTGATTGTTAAAAACAGGATATAGTAGCGCCTCAAGAGCATTGTAAAATTAAAAGACAGGGCTTAAAAAATCAATGATATTGTTTACTAATGTGTAATTTATTTACTATGCATTATACCGAGCAATAATAAGTCCCCACCATGATATCATTGATTTGCTGTGTAAAGTTAATAGACATATTTTTTAATACATTAAATTATATTAAAGTAGAATGAGTGGGAAAAGCAGCTCACAATAGAACTCAATGGAGAAGGGTTGTAAACTCAGTTAACAGCGGCAACCAAAAAAGTAGAGAGGCAACAAAGCAATGAGATTTTTGAATGTCCGGGAGTGCGGTAGGCAGATAACAGCTACGTATCGGGCTCATTTCAGTCCAGAAAATGCTTCTTGGCTTCTAGAAAAGGCCTTGCGTGACCATTTTCTTTATGTGTGTCGAATGTCTAAATTCGAGTATTTGGCTGTATGTATTTTTGTATGTATGTATGTTGTCATAAACTTCACATAAAATTAATCATTTTTCCCGGCGTAATTAGCTTATTAGAATGACTAACAATATACAACTAAGCCTTTTGAATTAGTATTTAGAATAATTGAGATAAAATAGGCTTTTAACTAGATAACAACAAATTACGAGTCACAAACAAAACAAACAGATCGTCAATTTGGTCGAAAAGTTCCAGCGCCGGGAAGATGTCTGCCATCTTGCTGTCGACAAAATTTGAATGCGCACTCGTCGAAGCTCATTCTCCCCACTTACCATATCTCGTGGAATAGGTACATTAAAGAAATGCTAACTTCATGTTAAAACGAAACAGACGCCACGTGGTGTCGCCTGGCAGTACTAGCTAAATTCAGGGGAATTGAGGGGCGGGGCTTTCGAGAAATTAAAAAAATATATTTTCTGGTAAATGGCACGAGACTTCACAGGAAGTAAATCCAACACGATTTCTTTTGGCCTTATTAGCAATATGTTCGGGATTTTGGAACATTATTAAAGACTTTGTGTGATTTTCAGAGAAAATTCATAGTAAATCAAATTGCATTAAATAAACAAACTCATTTATTTTTTAGAAGCTGCGATTTATATTACATTATAATATTCAAATATATATATATATATATTTTCTAACAATGTAAAAAGAATATCCCGGAACCTGAAAAAAGAATGATGAAAACGTAATGACTTAAATTTTAGTTCTCATCTACATTTTGCTAATAACTATGTCCGCAAAGAGTAAACATACGTCCTTAAAAACATCATTTTAGTAGTATGTTATCATCTATAGCTATTATTAACTTTAAACAGTAAGTAAGTCAGTGAGACTAAATAAAATATTTTTTTTAAATATCCCCTCTTTTAAGCCCCCGCCCCTCCAATTCCCCTCAATTTAGCTTAGTACTGCCAGGCGACATTATGTATTTTATATATCGCATATCCCGTTCAAAAAGTTTACTAACTCAAAATAGAAGAGAATATAGAGAACATTGTCAGGAGAAGTAAAAGAAAATTTAAGTTAAGGCAATATGTCTGTTTCATTTTAACATGAAGTTAATGTTGATTTAATAAAATTATTCCTGGTATCCTTCTGAGGTATAACCCCGATTAAAAGGACTACGTTTTTTAATAATTGTTTGTAATTGTAAACATTATTCTGTTCCAATCCCACAATCGAAATCGATATTCAGTAATCATTAAACAAATTTATCTTACTATATTTGAGGTTATAAAGTATTTAAATAAAGATCGTAAACACGAATCAAATCATGTTTCAAATAAATTATAGTTATCTCCGTGTTTTGATATTATTATCAGGTAACTTTCAGTTAAACAGTGTTGCCAGATGGAAGGCAAAATACAATCGGTATCGAGTATTTGCAAAAATGGTTGAAATCTAAAAAAAAAAATACGTTTACATCTTAGTTGTATTTACGAATAAATATTTTGTGTAATTTTGACTTACTATGTTAACCGTGAACAAACCCCAAATACATCCAAATGGTCATTTAATATTGTAAAACATCAAAATTGTTTTAAATCACATCAGTTTTGGAACTCTTGCTGTTTTCCCATACAAGTGACATCCCTGTGAAACTTAACCTATGATTTTAGGACGCTAATCAGCTGTGCTAATCAGGCTTAAACCTAAACAAATCTTATTAGTTGTTTTCTTGCATTTTTGCCTTTAATTTGTGTGTTTAGACATTTTATTTATGCAAAATCGTAATGAGAGTTTTAGGTTTAATTTTAGTATCGTTTTCTGTTGCTTACTATTTTGTAATTATTGTTAAATATGAATACTGAACAGTACACGCAGTAGCAGGATGAAGACAGATATTGGCAATTGCGCATGCTTATAAAGACTTCTAGGATAGGTCTTATTCTTCGACAATAACATAATACGAACAGACGTTTATAATAATAAGGTAATAAGAACATTTTAAATAGATAGGTATACTATAAAATATATTATTAATAAAATCAACATCCATAGATCGAATATTTGGCTCTGAAAATATTGGTAAAAACCAGACTTAGAATAAAATTGAGCAAAACTTTTTTTTTGTACATAATACCTACATTGTGATATTAGAGAATGGAGATTTTAGTACCGCGACCTTATAGATCTATTGTTGTGTTGCATTGTAATATTTACATTTGTTCAGATCGCTGATATTCTAAAAAAAAAATACACGTAAATAAAACACTTCTTACAAATCGACTTGGTCACTTTATCTTGTTTACCAACGATATACAAAATATTGCTTTTATTATCTTTTTCCCTGACAAATATGTTTTCTAATTATAATTTATTTTATATAATATTTAGAAAACTCATTTTTTTTTCGTTTCTATTTATTTCTTTAGCCATACAGTAACTATTTATAAGCTATACAGGCAAGTTTTAATAATGGTCTATTTCAAATTTTTGCAGAAATCAAGGAACGAAAATGGTATAGATACCATTTAAATGGTATATCGAGGCAACACTGCAGTGGAGCAAACATGAAAGGTACCGCGCGAACTGTCGTCTCTATGTCTTATCTACTTTTTGACTATACCATGACTATACGCTTTCAATTCGCGATTATCAGCTACGCAACAGAAGCCTCGTTACATGTATAAAATTGTAGCAAAAGGAGACAGGCTTTAAAAGTCTGTCTCCAAATCAGATATTTTGATGTGGTAGTTTCGCTACTACATAATAGAGGGCAATAAATTTAAAAGAAAACAGTTTTCTACGAACAAAATTTAAAAGAATTTGTGCAGTGTTGCCATTGTGTAATTCATATCGTAATACTTCCTGATAAAGCTTACCTTCAAATTTGCTACATCATTTAAACATATTAAAATAGATCAGAGCTGTTTTTTTCAGTTTGCCATGTTAGATGGAATTAAATCTTATGAGCTAAATTACAATCACTTCCTGACGTTTGATTGTATAATTGAATCCTGAATTTTCATTGTAATTCGGCGACAATATAATAAGTATTGTTCTACTATTATTATAGTTCTACCACTTCCTGACGTTCGATTGTGTTCATACCAAGTTCATATCGTAAAATCGGGAAAAAACGGCGTTAGCGATAGCTATGAAATGAATATCGCTGTCATTTTATATGTAAATTTATATGAGAAATGTCATCGATCGTCCTTTTCCAGCCAACTGGACGCCGTTTTTTTCAGAAGCATATCAAGTGATACCATAATATAGTACTATATTACGATACATGGCGTTCGATTGGGCTTAAACTTGGTATACTATATCTTCAGTGACATTGTAATATTATGGTACCATGAAGCATATAAAGTGGTACCTTCTATAGTACCATATTTGATGACATAGCAATATTAGGTACATGGCGGCAATAGGGCTTAAACTTGGTATACTACGGATCTTCGGTAACATTGCAATATTATTGTACCTAAAGTATAATCGAGTGGTGCCATAATATAGTACACTATTATGATATCATTTCCTGGAGTTCGATTGGGCCCAAATTTGGTATACTTGGTGTTTCTTTATAAAAGATTTGTTTAATTAATAATTTTAATTTATTTTACGAATTTTAATTTATTGTTCGATGTCGTGACAGCAACTTTTATGCCGAACTAATATATTATTAATTGTACCTGTTTCACTTTTTTAAAAAATCTACCTAGGTCTATATAAATAACGTGGCAAACGGAAGAAATTTGTTATTATAGTATTTTTTTAGTCAGTTAACATTTTTTGTACTGCATTTTAATAAATTATTTCCATTATGGTACCTTAAAGTATTAGTATTTCCATTATATAACGCTCCAGCATTATGATAACATATCACTGGAGTCAATTGCCCCAAATATTATATAATTTTAAAGGTAATTAAAGATTTTTTCTTAGTTAACAATTATAATTTAGTGTATAATTTTAAATGTATATGTTTTGTAATAATATACTTAAACCTATTTTAGCCAAAGGAATAATTAATATAAGTGTATCTGACAAGAAAAGAAGAATAGAAAGAAACACATACTGCATTATACAAAATAAAAAGAATGGGATGCCGATTCAAGTCTTTTTGAATCTGGCAACTGTGCATATTCAGCCGAGCTATAAGGCCGTCGACGAGCCGTCGATCCAAAACCGAAAGTTCAAAATTTCTAATTATATTCTGATTATGATATTGTCGCGCCATCTAGTATTCTATTTGTGAAATTTTAGCTCTTTCATTTCGAGTATTTTTCTGTTGCGTAGCTAGATATTCTGTGCTTTCACTATACAGATCTTATATGATCTTTATGATACATATCCCTGACATACTCTGGCAGCTCAGGCCGAAAAGCTAATTATATATGATACATATATAATTTAACACATATCCCGGTATCTTGTTTTGGCACCATATATAATGGAAATAAACAATCAACTTCTTCACGATCATATATATTGTTCACGATTATTTCACGATGATAGAAAGGAGAAACGTCAAAGTCAAATCGACTTTTAAACGATTTCAGATCACAGAGTTTCAAGATGGTGGAGGTTGTTGAAGATATTATTATGGACTCCGACGACAATGAAGAAATTCTTCCTAAAACAACAGAAGAGTAAGCGCTTTAATAAATAATTATATTTACTTTTCATTGTTAATGTTACACCTCTACAGTTTGGTTTATATCCTAATTCATCCGGTTTTCAAATACGTTTATTGAGCTATTCATTGTTTTCTTTATTTATTCAATTCCAGTTCTTGAATAATAATAACATCCGGTTTTTTTTCATTCACTTTGATTTTGACGCAAAATAAAACTCTTAAATTAATGATTTTTGGTTCCTATCAAACTATTTTTAGAAGGATTGTAAAGTATAAAATCTGTTTTTCTGCAGAAGTGACTTTGATATGAAAGTAATGCCAAATAAATTATTCATAAACTTCCTGTTTAGACTTCAGAACTATAAGTAATACTTTTAAATATTTGTTATTGCATTTCTGGATTTAATTAAATTATGTTGATATGACATTAAAAAAAAATTGTATTATTAAAATAAATTGACGTTTGTTAGTTTCACTCAGGTTTCACTAAAACTAAAGGGCGGCTGAACCGATTTAGCTAATTTTGGTTTTTGGAATATTTGTAGAAACCCAAGGAAGGTTCAAAAGTTCAAAATGTGAAAAATATGAAGAAATTGCAAGGAAAACAGTAAAAACTACTTTATTTTCCCATACAAACTGATTGTACATGGATCGACCTGTTAAACAGGGTGCGTTCAGAAATTAATTTTGCAACTAAACTTACCTATAAAGAGTACTTCAGAAATCAATTTCTTTACTCTTTTATTTCAATTATATTTATATTTTATTATATTATTTCAATCTATATGTTTTCTAAGTGTATATCGTTTATTATCAACAGAGGATTTTTTTATGTAGCTTGATATATCTTTCTAGTTGTCACAAAATAAATTTCTGAATGCACTATAAATATTTGATAGCTATGGAGTGTAGATATATTGAAATGACAACAAAACTGTCACATCTATTGGTCTCAATCATTCCAGCAGTGGGATTCTGTAAGCTCTGTAGCAAGAAATTTTCTGTCAAGCCTATGCTATTTGTATACGATTGATGAGTCACTATACAGAAAATATGTTTACAGAATCGCTAGCCAGATCATTTTCGTCAATCAGTTGTCCATCCCACAACATTGGACTCATTTCTTTAATAATTGATACAATGAAATTAAATATAGCTACCCTACCCATCTTATAAATAATGAAAAATAGCTAAGTGACAAGCTATATAGTGTTTTCATGAAAATTGCCAATTTATTATTTTTTCTTTTTGATTTTAATAGTTTTTTGTTTGGGATGATTTTTTAATACTAGTTTTATATTGCTATTGTTTTACAATTTAACAAAAAAATAATTTTAAAATCTTATCTGACCTATATTACGATAATAGGAACATAATATATTATACTTTGATATGTCTAAAAATTTCAAAAGAGAATCATATTGCTTACTTTTATGCCAACCTTGCACTGAAAAATAATGCTTTTGCACTATCTTTTTGAAACCTTCTGCAGAAAAAAATAATTGTTTTTCTACTTTTACTTGATATTTAGGTGTATTTTTTTAATTTGTATTTACTGCAGATATTGTTTTTCCTCTTACAAATATCTTAGCCCGCCCAACAATTCTAATTTCTTGATCCTGTACTTTTCTAAAGTAAAAAAGTAATAATCACCTTTTTTTGTTCTGTGTAATACCTATAATAGTAAGAACCCATTTTATTTTTAGATTAGCTGAACTTAAAAAAGAAAATGGCAATCAACTCTTCAAAATCAAGCAATATCGTTCCGCTCTTCCTCTCTACACCGAAGCCATCACCTTGTGTCCGGATACAGCAGCATACTATGGAAATCGAGCTGCCTGTTATATAATGTTGAATCGTCACAGAGAAGCTTTGGAGGACGCCCGGAAAAGTGTGTCCTTAGATCCTCGATTTGTTAAAGGGTAGGATGTATATTTTAAATACTGACTAAATTACCGCCGCGGCGGTATAGACAATAGGCTTGTTCCATCATATTTTAGTTGTATGTTTTTAAACTTTTTTGGTTACTAATTATAAAATAATAATTGTTTTGTTAAAAGCTAAAATAAAAGTCATATAAGACTTTAAAGTTTGTAACGCTGAGACAAAATTTATCTGTTATTGAGACGAGACCATGCCCACTCGTGACGTAGTTCCACCGCTCATGTCTTGCCGTCAGTCAGTTCGAAACGGCATAAATAATTTGAATTAACGTAATTTGGCGTTTTGTCGTTATTAAAGCTAATTTGTTGGTTTAATATCATAAAAAGCATTTGGTAGGAGAAGGGTTACATAAAACTGGTTTGGATAAATTCCCAGGACTGGACATTTTCATTATTATTTATGATGATTATGGACAATTTTAATAAAAATAAGTAATTTATTAGGTCAGAAATGAGGGGAATAAAGCTACAAAAATATAAGTAAACTTTTTAATTTCTATTCTATTTTCTATTATTTAAATACCGTATGATCGAGAAAAAAAGGCGTCAGCGATGGCTATGAAATGAACATCGATGGCATTTCCCATATAAAATGACAGCGATCTTTATTTCATAGTCATCGCTGACGCCGTTTTTTTTCGATCATACGGTACTTTTTTTTTTTCATAAAAGGGGCCGTCCTCTGCCGGAAACACTGCGACCTGTGAGGCCTATTGTGTTTGTCCCCCTTCTATATCTGCACCCATTCTCCTATCCCTGTGCCCTGCACTAGCTTATGCAGGCTTGATAGGATGGGAGCATAGTTCCTCCGGTTCTAGCCTAGCTTTCCCAAATAAAGAGTGTCGCTTGCGATCCAGAGCCTCGCAATGACATATTATGTGCTCCGCTGTTCAGGATCTTTATCGCAGAGTCTACAGCAAAGACTTCCGTGATACAGGTTGAGCTTGTTCAGATAACACTTGACAGCCATGTGTCCTGTCAAGAGGCCTGTTGTAATCCGCACTTTATTCCTGCTAAGCATTAGCAGTTCTTTTGCGGTTTTAGAGCTAGGTCCTTGGATAAAAGCCTTGCTGTGCCTGTGCCCCTGTCTGTTTCTCCAGTGGACAATGTGCTTTTCTTTGATCCAGAGTTTTAGTGCACTACGGGCCATACATTTGGGTATTCCCAGTACTGGCTCGGGACCAAGATAGGTTGCCGATGATCTGTGCCTAGCTAGCTCATCGGCTTTTTCGTTGCCTTAGATGCCGCTGTGGCCCGGCACCCAGAATAATTTAATTCTGTTCCTTTGTGCCAGAGCTCCCAGTTCACCCAGGCATTCCCAGACGAGTCTCGACGATACTTTTGGGTTCATAAGCGCCCCAAGTGCCGCCTGACTGTCTGAGCATATATTGATGAGCTTACCTGAATAAGCTCCTCTATTGTTTTCTCTTGCACATTGTACAATGGCGAAGATTTCTGTCTGGAATACGGTTGAGTGTTTACCCAAGGAAAAGGATAAGCTTGCCCTTGGTCTTTCCCCCAATACTCCAGCTCCTGTTCCTTCAGCGGTCTTTGACCCGTCTGTATACCAGGTTAGTCCATCCTGAAGGAATGTTATATCTGTCCACATTCCTCGATCCATTTTGTTCACCTCGATTGGTTTGTGGTAGCGTTATAGAGGGGTCATTTGGTCCGATCTCATTTGGAGTAGAGATCCTCCGATAGAATCTCCCATCTTTAAGTGTCCTGTTTCTGTCCTATTTCCCGGAGACAAGACACTTTGTTGTCGATAGAGTCCCATTCTTGCCTCCGCCTGGATCACTATGTGAAGAGGCGGAAGGTCCAGTAGCGCCTCCATTGATGCAGTGGGCGTTGATTTCATTGCCCCTGTTATGCTCAGACAAGCAAGTCTTTGCACCTTACTAAGGCTGAGCATTGTTGTTTGTTGCATTACCTTAGGCCACCATACCAAGGATGCATATGTTACTGAACGCCTCACCACTCCAGTGTACAGCCAGTGCACCATCTGTGGTCTGAGGCCCCAGATTTTTCCATGAAGTCGTCTGACTACCGCTAGTGTAGTCACCGCCCTCCTTCCAGGTCAGTTTGGTATCCAGCATGATTCCTAGATACTTGACCTTCCCCGAGAGAGGAATCTCATCACCGCAGAGTCTTAGAGGTCCTAGACCCTCCAAAATTCTTCGTTTGGTGAAGGGGATTATTACGGTCTTTGTAGGACTGATATTTAGTCCCTCCCGTGTCACCCATGATTCCACAATCTTTAGGGCCCTTTGCATTCGCTCCCTTACTGTTGTGTTAAACTTACCTCTGACTAACACGACCAGATCGTCTGCGTATCCCAGAGTGCTGAAACCAGCCCTGTTGAGACTATCAAGCAGTCCGTCCATAACGAGATTCCACAGCAGAGGGGAGAGAACTCCACCCTGCGGGCATTCTCCCGCCACCCGGACTGCAACCAGTCTCATTTAGTAGGGTGGTATATACCACTCGACTTTTGAGCATGCAGTCTATCCACCTGCAGCAGGTCTCCTCTAATCCGAGGTTCCTTGTAGCTCTCGTCAGTGACTGAAATGAGGTGTTATCAAACGTCCCTTCTATGTCGAGGAATGCCCCTAAAAGCACTTCTCTTGTTTCGAACGTCGACTCCACTTTGCTTACTAGCTGATGGAGTGCCGATTCGATTGATCGTCCTACTGTGTAGGCATGCTGGTCTTGGTGAAATGGTCTTTTTCCCATTACTTCATTCCTAACATACGATGGGCCTAAAGGCCTTCGCCGTAGAATAGTCCAGACGCCCATTCTTGGGTATAAAAGCTACCCTGGTCAGCCTCCAAATTCTCGGTATATATCCTAAGGCCAGACTAGCTCTTAGTAGTGTGCAAAGTTTACTCGTCCTTGCTGGAGCATTATTGGAAAAATACCGTCCGGTCCCGGTGATTTGTATGGCTCAAATGAGCTTATAGTCCATTTTATCTTTGATTGGTCAATCACCCTTTTTGAAACCTGCCAGTCTTCTCTTGAGGCTCTTCTCGTGAAGTTCTCAAGTCCACTACTCTTTCAGGTTTCTGGGGATTGCTCCAAGGCTGTTGATCTGGGAAAGTGTACCCGAAAGAGTTCGGTCGGCGTTTCTTTCCCAGTGGTTGTGTATTCTCCTGCACTAGTTACAAGAGAGTTAATTGAGGTCTGAGAGTCCTTAGAGAGTATTTTTTGAAGTCTGGCACATTCTGAGGTACTATCAATGCCCTCGCAGTACCTCCTCCAAGATAATCTCTTTGCTCTCTTCAGTTCCTTGTTATATTCGGTCAAAGAGGTCTTATATTCCCCCCAATCGCCGGATCTTTTTGCCCTATTCCAGTTTTTCCTTACCTGCCTTCTCCTTGCCTCTAGCTGGACGGTCCACCAGGGTGTTGCCCGTTTGTGGCTTCTGACAGTCTGGGGGCAGTTTTCCTCAAAAGAAGATCTGATCGCGTCAGTCAATTGCTCCGCGACCAGTTCCACCTCAGTCGCATTCCTTACCATTGATTTGATACTCGTCAGTTTGCTAGTTAGGTCTGCCCCAAAGGCTTCCCAATTTGCATTCCGAGGATCACGGTAGGTTTCTACGGTCCTTTGTATTCCCGAGATTTCAAACCTTATGTGTTTGTGGTCCGAGCAACTCTCCTCCTCTGACACACTCCAGTTTTTTATGAAATTGCTAACAAAAGTGGTGGCTAATGTTAGATCTATAACTTCCTGCCTTTGTGTGGTCACAAAAGTAGGCCTGTTACCTTTATTCATTACGTCTAAATTATTTGCCATAAAGAATTGCAGCAGAGCTTCGCCTCTAGGGTTTGTGTCTGTGCTTCCCCAGAAAGTGTGGTGCGCATTTGCGTCCGAGCCAATGATCAACTGAGATCCATTTCCTCTGCAGTACCTCACTAGCTCTTCACAGTCTCTGGTGGTGGTGGATCAGGGTCATCGAAAGGAAGATAAGCCGATCCGATTATAATGTCCTTCGGCCCTTCTCCGTTCGTTTTTATGTGTACCGCTGTCAGATCATTGTTACAGAATTTTAGTAAGGGCAGTACTTTTATGTGTGTTTTAATTAGTATGCAGGTCCTAGGTCTGTCAGAGGTTCTACTGTATATAAGTTCCACCCCGACTCCCTTGAGGTCTTTTATTTGACCCTGGTTTATCCAGGGTTCTTGTATCAAGGCAATGTCACAGGTCTCCATTACCTTACAGAGGACAGCCGTAGCTGCCCTACTGTGGTGCAGGTTCGCCTGGACGACCCTCATTTCGAGACTCAGCGCCCTTCAGTGCCCGGAAGAAGACCCGTCCGAGCTTATAGTAAGCCTAGAACTGGGTCTGCTCAAGGGCACTAAAAGACGCTAAGTCGATGGAGAAGGCGATGGTTTGGCCATTCTTCTCCACCTTCCTGCTTAGTGTAAGCCAGTCTCCCACATTCAGGCTAGGGTTTTGACGCCCAAGCCAGGTACTGACTTCACTTTCCTCGACTGTCTCTGGTATCCAGACGAGGACTTTTGGTCTCTTAGAAGGTCCTTAGAGTTGACCGTAGTCAAGTCCGCCCCTTCCCAGAGATTGTTTAAGCCGGCTACAGTATGCTGCAGCCATGCTTTGGTGAGGTCGTTGGCACATGAGATCCAAAGAATCCCTCCCACGTACCTGGTTCCCTCAAACTGCGGCGGATTCTGGCTCCCTGAAGGAGTTTCAGTCAATGCCGCCAACAGCCTCGCTTGGATCAGGTCCGCTTGCTCCTGACACAGGAGGTTGTCTCTGGATGGCGTCTGGAAATCACCGCCATCCTAAGTTCCCTTGAGGCGTCACTGTTAGAAACACCAGTCTGCACTTCCGTGCTCCTGGGTTTCTTCCTCATAATGGCTACAGGGGGTGTAGAGGAGTCCGAGTGCGGTCTTTTTTTGCCCGTACTTTTCTCCTTTTTCTTGGCTGGAGTGGAGCTGGTTGACGGTCCGTGTTTT